TAAAATTAAACATAAAACAGCCTTGATAGTATCTTTTGTATGACTAAAATATTTTTTTAACTAAAAACTACATTTATGAAATAATACATTAATATCACATTGTTTGATAAAATCTTACACTTCATACTTACTATTCATACAATGTATCACAATATTGAAAATAAAAAATAATGAATACAACTTATTGCATGTGCCAAATATTATTTTAAACATAGTTATATTTTTTAAAAGAATAATTGTTAAAATATTTGTATTTTTTTTAGAGCGACTCTTTCTATCTATTTTTTATGTTATTTTATTATGTACTTTTTTATGTAGTACTTTTAGAATTTCAAATCTTTCTATTCTTGACTGAGATAAATAATATTACAAACATCTTATATAAATAATACAGATACTTATAAAATAACTGTTCTTTCAAATTTCCTTACATTGAAGTTTTTATAATGTAGTATCACAATGTTATATAAAGTAAAATGTATCTAAAATAAAATCAAAAAGTTATAATCTATAATACTGGAATGAAAAATCTTACTATTATGTATACATATATTATGGTTATTGCATATGCTAAGTAATATTGAGTAAGATATAAGATTTATTTATTACTTTTAAGAATTAAGAAGTTCTTCGAGAATTATTGAAAATAATTCTCGCAGAACTTCTATTTTTTCTTTATGTCGACGCTCTTTCTGTTTTTCTTTTTCATTTTGAATATCTCGTAATACTGCAAAAATGTTTGGAGAGTTTTGACCTTTTCTTACAATTTCTTCACTGTCCGAAGTGTATAATTTTCTTTTTTTTACAGTAAGCTGGCCTATTCCAAAGCAAACCTCAGGTTCGAGGCTATCGGTCGATGCTACTAATTAATTCAAATTCTTCTTCAAATTCTATGTCACATTTTTCATGTCCCGATTTTTTATTATTTTTCTTTGCAGCATTTCTTCTTTGTAACATATTTTTATATCGGTATTCACATTGCAAAGACGAACAAAAAATTCCACATTTTCTTGTAACTTCATTACTTATAAATTCCCACATACATTTTTTATTTTTAAATGTGGAAAATGGATCTATTTCTCCAATATTTTCATAATATAATTGTAGCAATACTTTGCTTTCATTATCTGTCCATGCAACTCCATGCGAATCATTTCCTTTCTTTATAGTTTCTTCATTGTTAAATGAAGCTGTACTGCACGGCATTATGCTCGCTGAAATAAAATATATATTGCTTTACCGTTATATTTATATGCGATATTTAATTAATTATAATTGAAACCTTTTTACAAAACACGCACACACAAATCACTTACCATTTTCAGTTGCTGACGATGATGTGCTACAAGTCGAGCGTGCCCCTACAAATTTTAATTTGACATTTCCTGAAAAATAAAAAAAAGATTTTACATTTGTAATGCTATAACAAATGAGATTTAGTGACAATGAAGCATATTATTAATTTTATAGTATTATTAACAAAACATTACCATCACTATCCACACATTCACATAAAATTCCTTCAGCCGTTTTAATTATTTTTCCGTTCTCATCTCGAATTATTTTCATACCCGTGCTGCTATTGTCTGTAAAAATTATAATTATTTAAAATATTTTTAAATAATTCAAAACTTTCAACATCATGCCAGATATATAAACTATAGCTATATATAAACACATGCTATCTTAACATTTTATGTTGTTTTTTCATAATTGACAATAATTAATTGTATTACTAATTTAGTACAATGTTTTACCTGATCCACTCATTGTTGTAGATATACCATTACATTTGACAGAGAAAATAATTTCTTTCTTTTTGGTTCTGTCTCGTGACAAGCGGTACCAATCTGCCCGGGATGGGTTTTGCGATTATATTGCGTAACGGTGATGTAAATCGAGTTCCCCGAAAAATTCTACTCACACCTGTGAACCCAGCAATCAAATAACCTTGCCCACTTATCTTTTTTTCACGGAAAAGAAAAGTTTTGATATTATAGG